AGAGACAGGCCCCCCCTCCTCCTGCCCTCCTGCCGGCGCTTGCCCTCTGCGCCCGTGGCCCCCGCACGGCCTGCCGGAGGAGGGGGACTCGGAGAGAGGCTTTATGCAAGAGAAGGCGGGGGGGGGATGCGGGGGGGCGGTGAGCCAGGCTGTCGGCTTTACCCCAGGAGTAACGAGGGTGAGGGGCCAGGCGCAGCCACTGCCCCCAGGGCACGGTGGCTCCCTGCTTAGGAGCAGCAGCAGCTGGAAGGTGCGTGAAGGCCGCGGGGCTGATCTGCGGGCAGTACATGCTGCCTCAGAAGGACTTCCTTCCCCCCTCCTCCTCTTTACTAATCCCTCAGTAACATGGATCTCAAGTAAATTTTGGTGCTGGTGGGATTCTGGCCTGAGGCTGGGAGAGTTTCCAGCCTTCCCTGTCTCCTTCCCAGCAGCCAAAGCCATGGGCTGTTCGGAACACACCAAGTCTGAGGAGGAGACCAATGCCCAGATCCACGCTGTGGCCCTGCTCCTGTCCCAGAGCTGGACCACAGCCAAGAGCAGAGCCCTTCCTGAATTGCTCCCTTCTGCCCAGACTGGAGGGTCTGTGGTAGCATGGCCAGGGGAGAGGTAGTGCACCGAGAAGGGCTGGTTTCATCGCTCAGGTCGGTGACATCCCACTTTTGTCTCCTCACAGGCCAACCCTGCTCCCATTATCGTGAACACAGACTCGCTGGAACAAGGGCTCTCTGTAAGTCTCCTGGTTTTGTTTCGCTTCCTTTGAACAAGTGTGTTTTCCCTGCTTGGCAGTGCAGGAAAGGCTCCTCCAGCCCAAGGAGTCCCTGGCCAGGTGGCAGAGGAGCCTGGTACCTGTGCCACGTCCCCACAACACGTCCTACCCCCAAACCTTGCTGGGGCTGGGTGACGCTGCACAGAGCCACGGCCAGCAGCAAGCGATGCTGGGAACTCCAGCACAGGGAGGGTACAAGGCAGGAGGCACTCAGAGAGCCACACTGCAGGGTAAGCAGGTGTGAGAGGAGCAGGAGGAGCTGGGCTGGCTGCGGTCAGGGTTACCCACACAGCCATTTCCTCAGCCTCCCATGCAGAGTGGCTGTGAGGGTCTGCTGGGGCATCCCTTGCCTTCCTGCACTGCCTCAGCCCCCTTTGGCAGCCCCGGCCACGCAGGGGGGTGGCAGGACTCTCCAGGTGCTCGCTGGCATCACACCCACTGGTCCTCAGGGCAGTAGCACCCATCAGATGCTGCTCCTCTCCCAGTGAAGGCTGCCAGCAGCTGAGCAGTGCTTGGTGACTGGGAGTGTTTGCAGCCACAGTGCATTTGGCACTCTTGGCGTAGTATAAAGATAATCCTCCTCGGTTTGTTGCGGAGAGGGTTTGTGTGCTGCTGCATCCCTTCCCAGAACATTTGCGAATCATTCCTGCTGTGCAGCATTGGCTCTGTGCTCGTGGGGTGCTCCCCCTTTTTTTTCCCCCAAAGGGAGCTGAATGATAGCTTGCCAGGGCTGGGCGCTTTGCACCTGGTTTTATTCTGATGCAGCAAATTTCATCGGCCTTCCGCATTAATGAAGTGGCACCAGGACTCAAAGCTGGGGTTGGTTTGTGTTTGGAGTCGTGGTGAAGGGCTGCAGGTGACTTCTGGTGGTTGAACCTTCCTTGTAAAGAACTGCAGATCTCAGTGGTGGGGTCAGTGTGCATCAGAGCTCTGTTGGGCTGGTTGGGCAGGGCTACAAAAAGAAAGGGAAGCCCAGCTGAGACCTCTGCAACCCAGGCTGTGTGGTTTAATTATGCCTCAGGTGCTGAACTGAAGCCACCTGGCACTGGGGAGGAAGACGATGGTGCCTCTCAGCATGGTGGTCCTGGGTCCAGCAGCCTTGTATGAACGTGGCAGAAGAGAGTTGCTGTCCCCAAAGGTTTCCTTCTCGAAAAGCATGGCATGGCAGGGTGTTTGTGGGGTTGCAGGCTTCTTGCAGCGTGCTGGGCATCCCGGCTGCAGGGCAGTGCCCTGTTGCAGTCTGCTCTCTGTGCTCACCAGGCTGGTGCTGCTCTACAGGGAACTGGAAAAAGGGTAATGTTTCCTGGAGGGGAAGGCCACACCACAAGGTTGGACTGAGGCGAGTGAGGGGTGTGCTGTGGGCAGGGCAGGGCGGTATTCCTGTATAGAAAGTCTGCTTTCTCATCAGTTTTGAACCCTCCCTCCCTTGGAGGAACATTTCCTGCTCGCCATTGCAGCCACCAGTGCCACATCCTTCGCCAGGCTCCAGCCGTGTCAGTCCCTCCTCCTTGCCTGTGTGCTCAAGGGCAGGAGGAGAACCCAAGGGCCAAGGACAGGCTCTGTTGCCCCAGGCAGGCTCCCGAGCCCTGCAAGAAGCCAGCAGCAGGGAGCCCACCCGTGAGGCCAGCAGCTCCCTCCTCCCACTGCAGTGCACTCTGCTTTCCTGCCCTCCTGGCTGCTTCCCCTTACTCTGCCTCATTAATTCCATATGCCCCCACCCCTCTCCCTCTGCCTCATTAGCTCCATATCCCCGTCCACCCCTTCTCCCTGCACCTTGGCCACAGCTCCCTCTTACTGTGCAGGATGGGACCTGCCTCTCTGCAACCCCCAGGGTAGGTTTGGCTGGATTTCGATGGGTGCTCTGCACCCCTGGCAGGTGCCAGCATCACCCTGGGGCTGGCAGTCACCTACCCCATCCATCCAACTCCAGCAGCACATGTTGGGGGGGAACTGCTCTGTGGTGTCAGAAGGAAGGGGCAGGTTCTGGCTGTTGTCTGCTGGTTGGAGCAGGGGCCATCAGCCCTGTGCCCAGGTGTGTGCTGCCTGCAGAGTGCCCAGAGGAGCCCGTGCCCAGGGCAGGGGAGACACCTCGCTTGGATTCCTCTCAATCTCCAGCCTAGAAACCCTCTTGCTTTCTACTTCGTGTCATACTAGTACAGAAATAAACTTTGCTCCATCCTTGCCTTCTCTGGGGTGCCAGGCTCCTCAGGCTCTAGGGAAAACACACCCCAAAACCTCCTGTTTGGCAGTTTCTAGGTCAACAAAGGAGCCACACCAGGGGCTTACTGCAGAAAAGCACACCAAAATGGCAAATCTGGAAGCATGGTTTTTTACAAACCCAGAAGCTGAAGCCTGTTGGTACAGTATGTATTTGGAAGGGTTAAAGTCACATCTTCCAGTCTTTAATTACTTAACTATTCAATGCTTTCCTTAATGATAAACAGATGGATGTAGTCTAGTTCCTTCCTGTTCTAGCTCCATTGATTACATCGGACTAGCTGCTGGGCTGAATTTGGCCCCGGCTGTTTATCAAGAAGTCTGCTCCACATTTCAATCTCTCTGTCCACCCACCTCCATCCCCAAGAGCACGTGGCACCAGCAACACCGTAAGGTACAAGCTGCAGCACCAGGTCCCACACACCACCAGGGCTGGGGCTCAGCTCTGGTGCCTACAGCTTGTGCAGAGCCCAGCACCCCCGGGGTGTAAAAAGCCAAATAAATCCTTACAAAATTCCTGCTGTATTAAAAGCACCCCTCGAAGGGTAAAGACAGGTGCCAGGGGGGATCACCCATGCCAGGCTTACAGTTTCACCCCTTGGTGTGTTTTGCTCAGCAGGTCCATAGCAGGGAGATGGAGCATCAGAAGCACAGTTCCCGTGGTGGACAGGGTCTCTGTGTTTCAGAGCTGCCTCTCTGAAGCTGAAATAACTCCTGGCTGCCCAGGGTGCATGGCACCTGCTGCCAGGCAGTCCCAAAGTGAGCGGGGAAGGTCACTCCAAAGCTCTGGTGGAGTTGAAGGTTTCATAGCCTGGGTCCTTGGAGTCCTCCTTTGGTGCCCCACCACCCAGCAGCAAGGTGCCACAACCTCCTCCGTATCTAAAAGCCAGGTCTGAGGAAGCCAAGTGCTTCCCAGATCTGATCCTGGCCAGCAAATGCCACAGGACCCCCAGGCTCTACCACTGGTGAGCACAGAGGCAACCTCCTTGTGCAGTGCTGACTCTGCTGCCAGGGTCCCCAGCTACTGTTGCTGCAGGGTGGGGAGCAGCAGAGATGGCCACCACGGTCCAGTGCCTTTGAGCAGGGCAAAACTTGCTTGTAAGCTTGAAAAACAGAAAAAATCAGAACTGCCACCCTGACACTTTGGTCCCAAGCGCTGGCAGTGGCACATCCTGCTCTGGTTCCCACAGATAGCGTGACTGTGGAGCCCTCCCAGCTGTGTGCTGGGGCTGTCAGGCTTCAAACCCCTTCCTTCTGCCCGAGCTCAGCAGGCTTGTCCCCATGGCCCTCTGGCAAAAAGCTGACCAGAAATACTGTGTTTATTTACTCTGTACACAAGGCCAACACTGTGGGCAACACATACAGGGGGGTTGAGGCCAGGGGTTAGCTGGAAGTGAGCTGGTAGGTCTCGGTGCTGAGGATGCAGGGAGGTGAAGGGAGGGAGCTCTTGACCTATTTTCTCTGGGCCCCCTGCCATGTGCGGGCAGCGAGAGCTCTCCCTCGCCAGCACTGCCGCCTGTGCCAGCGGGGAGGTGCCCGTTGCACCCGCTGCCCCGGCATGGGGCTGCTCTCCTTTCCCCTTGCTGGTACCCTTCAGTCCCAGGTCCAGCTGGCACCACCGAGGCCTGACCCTCCAGCCTTCAGACTCTCTTCCTTATGTCGGTACACGGCTGCTCCACTACCAGGTCCTGGTGCCTCTCCCCATCGTGTCCTAACACAAGATCTGGGCTAGATCCTGCTTTAAAAGTGGCTGTGGGCAGCATTATCCTTCCTGCAGGTTATTTCTTCTTGCAGCCTGGTGGGCTATTTGGGTTGGGATTGAGGAACCCCGTCCTAGTCTTCTAAATTTGTCCTCCTTTTTTATTTAAAAAAAACCCACACAACCAAATCCTGACTCTCTAGCAAATTGCAAAGCGCATTCCACGTGCGCTGGTGCGGTGTTGGCCAGCAGAGCCTGCAGACAGCTTGCAGTAGCTCTGGAAGGTGTGTGCTCTTCTGTTTATCAAATGAGTGTTAACTCTGCAGCCTTCTGTTGATGATTTAAATGTCATCATCGCTAACTATTTCCCTGCTGCTCAAAACACAAAAGGGAAGCGAAGGCCAGCAAAGGGGGCCTCTTCCTGAGCCCTGAGGTGGGCTTGCTGCGTGGGAAGGGCTTGGAAAAAAATACCCTTACTCTTTTCCATGAGAAATCAGACAGTGTTAGGATCGTGATACGCTGGGAACAGCTAATTAGCCCCCAACACCCCCGTCAGCTCTGCAGGCGTTACATGGGGAGGCGGGAGCAGGGTGGGGTGTACTCTCCCTGCCCAGGGGTGATGGAGCTGGGCATTTCCCCACCAAGCCCGTAGCACTGAGACAGCCCCAAACAGGAGCTGGGGAGGAGCACAGGGCACTGACGAAGGAGAGGGGGAACAGCCTACGGTAGAGCCGGGTCACGGTGGCTCTAGTGGGTGCCGTGGGGAGGTTTTGCCGTCAGCGAGTGACTGGTATTCAGTTTTCCGATGCTGGAACGTTTGCTTTGTTGGTTCGTTCCCTTGGTTACATGGTATATATTAAGTTCTCCATTTGGCTTCCTTATGCAATTAACTGGCGTTTTGTTGCATGGATTTTGGAAACATGATCAGAGCTAAAACTTCATGGTCAGGCCTGGCTGACCCCAGCATGCCCAGCCAGAGCAGGCTGCTCCCAGCACGTGCCATGCCGGGCGAGCACTGACACCTCTTGCTTTCAGAGAGCGATGCAAAACGCTGCTCAGCATTGGCAGCCTCGAGATTTGGGGAGTGGGGATACCCCAAACTCACCTGCCTGGCAGCAGGGGGCCTGATGGGGTTGCATGCTGGGGTGTCTCTGTGCCCCAGGCGCTTGCCGGCAGCGGCCGCTCGCTTGGCGGGGCTCGCGTGCTGCTGGCTCTCTCCGCGGCTCACAGATTGTCAAAGTTTTCTGCACATCCCCATCCTGTAGGTATGTATGTGCTGTTCCTCTGCGGCCGTGGGTGTGCATATGGCTGGCTGTGTGGCAACTGTGTTGAATGCCAAAGCAGAGAGGACAATGTGTGTAGTAGTGAAGGGTGCCAGGAATCCAAGTTGCTGGAAAGCTGGGGAGAGGCAACGCTGCGCCCCACGCACTGGGCTACCAACTGCGGAGACGAGATGAGCCTGGAGGCTGTGGCGAGGGAGGCTGTGAGGGCGGCATGGGCCAGCGAGCCGGCTCCACTCAAAATTAGTCAGTACGATAGGATGCAAGGAGGGAAAGGCAACCCATGGCAGAGGGGGAGCCTGTGACGAGGGAAACGATGTGCCCCTGCCTGTGGGAGCACGGCCCAGGGCAGTGCTGTGGCAGGAGGTGGCACCAGCCACGTGACCCTGTCCCTCCAAGGCTGTCGAGGATCCTGCTGTGGGTTAATCCCACTGCTCCTGGTGCTTTTCTGCAGAGGGGTCCTGTTCAAGACCTGACCAAAGCCTTTCCCAATGTGCTGGGAGGACCAGACCATCCTCATATTGGAGCACCTGGATGTTCCAACACTGAACTGTGCCCCGAAATCTTCCTGTGGCTGGGAGGCACCAGGCATGGAGCACATCTGAGGAGGGACAAACTTCTCAGCCCGTGTTCCTGGAGCCTCCATCCCATCTCTCCACTCCGGACTCTCTCCAGCCTCATCCTTCTCGAAGCGTGGTACCCACAACAGGGTGTGGGATTGCTTTAGCCTCACCAGGGCTGAACCAGGCAGGGGATGGAGGGGGTGTGTGTCACAGGTAGCACAGCCCCATCCCAGATCCTGGCATGTAGAACAGCTCTTCCAAGTGGGCATGTGATTATTCCCACCTAGAAAAACTCCTGTTTCCTCTTCCTACCTATAAATAGGGCCTCACAGTCACCTCGCTGAGTTTCCTTCCATGGTGTCAGATGATGGCATAAATGATGTTTGCTGACCCCTCCATCTAACGACCCAGCACTGGGGGATTTTGGAGGATGGCTGGGCTGTGCCTCCATGGGGGTGGATAGCAGGGAGCTGGGCAAGCAGGACACAACCAGTGTGCCGGTGCCTGATGAGGGGACCTGTGTCCAAACAAAGCCACAGCAGCTCCTGTCTGGGATACTGAGCACGTACAGAAAGTGGCTCCATACAGTCTACAAGCCGTCCATTAATGGTGGATGTAAAATCCACGTGAGAAACCCTGCACATTGTCCAGGGCCCACAGGCAGAAGCAGGGCTGCATGATGGGAGAGGCATTTGCCTGCTGAGCCCTGGGTCCCGCCGCCTCTGCCGTGCTGTGCTGACTTGCCTGCATCCTCTCCCTTGTTTCTGAGTGACTCAAATGGTGAGGTTGAGTCCAGTCCCCTCCAAAACGGTTGCCATTGAGTGTACCAACTCTGGATGTTCCAATAGACAATTGCTTTGCAAATCTTGCTAAATTTTAGATCTCGGCAGCTGTTTATGGCCTGATCCTGTTGACCTGGAGTGAAGCTGCCACCTTATTTTCCTGTGCACTGCTTCTTTTGGGGAAAATGGAAGTTTTTGACCTGTACATTTACCATTTCTATTTTAGAGCCCACAGTTGCATCCCTTGTGTTTCAAGCCATTACATTTCCCAGAGTCCTGCTTTGATGCTCCGGGCATGGGAGACTTTTAAGGGTGGGGATCAGTATGGTGTACAGCACTGAGAAAGGCTACACCATTTTTTTTATACAAGGGCATCACAATATTTTATCCTCTTACTGTGCCCCACACTTACACCTCGTTTCCTTTGCACCCAGCTAATTTGGTAGCATAAATTATTCTGAATTCCCTGTTAACACAGTCATGCTACTAAAAGATTTAAAAGATATAAGCTGCTAAAGGTGTTTATTATGTTATTATGTACAGACATGATTTTTTTTTCCTTTAAATAGACCAGCCCCCTTTCTTTCCTTCCTGCAGCAGTGAATTCCCGAGGTTAATTACATGCTGTGGAACAAAGACGTTATTTCTTTTTGTGCCTTTGGTTGTGTTCCTTTTCATGGCTCAAGAAATGAGCTGGGAGAATAAAGGCTTTGCGCTGAAGTGCATTAAAGTCAGTGGGCTTTGGCTCATGCCCAGAAAGAAAAGCAGCACACGGTTTAATTCCAGGGCAGGCTTGAGCGATTGTGTTTAAGGATTTTTCAGCAGTGATGGTGCAGCTTTTAGGTTGGATTCTCAATATTCAGCTATCAGAGGGGAAAAGCAAATCCCCCTTGACCGGCACAGAGCCATAACACGCTGTCTCCCTCTCCCCAGGTGAATGGCAGCGATGGGATGTTCAAATACGAGGAGATCGTCTTGGAAAGGGTAAGTGCTCTTTACTCACCCGCCAACAGCCTTTGCTGCCTCCTCCCACTCGCCCTCCCACTGGCGCAGCCGGCACCCCCGCATCTCCGCGCCAGCTGATGGAGAGAGATTGCTCTCCACTCCCGCTCTCTCCAGAGGCTTTTGGGGGTGTTGCTCTTGCCTTCCCTGCACAGCCCCCTGGCACGGGGAGAGGTGGGCTTGCTGCTCGCCCCCACCCCCGCAGACCCTTCCAGAAGGGAGGGAGGAAGGCCTCTCCCTCACCTCCCTCATTCACACCCTCGCCCCCACAAGCCCACCAGCGCGGAGCCAGAGGGGGAGGCTCTTTGTCACTGCCTTTGCCGGAAGATGGAGGTGCCAGGAAGCTCTGCTCGTGCAGGCGTGCGGGAGGCACACCCCACAGCCAGGCACAGGGAGTCCCCATCGCTCAGGGGTACAGCCCGGGGATGCTAAGCAGCAAGGACAGGTCTTCTAGTAACCCAGCCACAGCAGGCGGAGTTTCTGCTCGAGCTTTTTCTTGCCCATTGGCAACACAGAGTTGATGTCGTGCACGGCACTAGCCGTGGCTAAAATTACCTGCCCCCATTGATGGGGTGTATCCAGGGATGAGCTGTCACCATGCAGGGAAGGGAGGGCTTGCCCCTGGCACCCAAGGGAGTGGCAGGGATGGAGGGATGGAGAGGGAGCAGGAGAAGCTGGCCCAAGGTTTGTTCTGTGAGGTGGGCACAGCCCTGATGAGTGGGGATGGCTGAGGCAGGAGGTTGCGCACGGCGCCCCACGGCACACCTTGCCTCCTCCTCGCTGCCGCGCTGGGTGGCTCAGCCTCGCCGCGTGGCCGGCATCGCAGGGGAAGACGCATCATTCGTTATTCTGTTCCTCTCTGCCTTTAGTCATCTCCCTCCTCCCCTTGGCTCTGCATCACAGAGGTGGGTGGACGGAAGGTTATCTGGGGCTGCCGCCTCACCCACCGCTTCCCCAGCGTGCCTGACGAAACCAGCCCAGGGGATGCTTCCTTTTTGGGCTGAGCACTTCTCACTCCGGGCCCAATTTAGAGGCAAAAGCCTTGTTTTCAGGGATTCTTCAGCCATCCTCATCCACCAGCGGGAGCAGGGGGGAGCTGGCAGGGTCACACAGAGAGGCATCACTCATTGCTGCCCCCCATTTCAAAGTCCCAGACAGTGGGACTCTCAGGCAGTGAGAAACAGTGAGGGAATTTCAGTGCTTAGCAGTCAGGGCCAGCATGGACCATACCCAAGTCCTTCTTCTTCACCTGGTCCCCAGTGGGATCCAACAGCACCATTTTACTGCAGGAGAAGCACCTTGGAGCCTGTGGATGACTCTGTCCTCTTGCTGGGGTGTTTGACTCCCACAGGTGACCTCAGTGTACCCTAAAATCGCTGGTCTGTCGCAGTTGTTAATCCTTGTCCCTATAAAGACAAGGGCAAATTCAGCAGTGGTTTAGGGGCAATAACTGAGGAAATACCATCTGCAGAGGGATGTGGCTTTGGGTTTACCTACCATACATGTGTCCACAACAGGAGCTGCCCCCGTATCTACATCAGCCCCAATGACAGCTAAGAAATCCTTTGAAATCCGTTTCAAAGTTTATCAAAATAAAATTAAATACCTGGATAATGTCCCGGTTTTGTACCTAGTGTCAGAGCACACCTTTCCATAGACCGGCACAGCGAATGGCTGGAGACCGTTTTGCACAGTCTCACCTGCCTTGCTTGGGGCCAGGCTGGGTCTCCAGTGACAGTAAGCAGCTAGTTTGAGCTGGGCTCAGGGCAACCTGCATCCAGCTTAGAGGAAGGAGAGCGGCCTCAGACCTTTCGCCATTGAGTGCCTCCTTGTCACATGCCGGCCAAATCCCAGCTGGCAGGAGAGCATCTGGGAGTGTTGCACAGTGCCAGGCATTGGTGGCTCTTGGATATGCCATGTGCTGTGTCACGAGTGGCATAAAGTCATAGCGGGGACCTCTGTGTCACCACAAGAGCTGATGCTGGGCCCAAGCTGCTGGGCAGAAGTGTGAGGCACAGCCAGTGCTAGGTGATGCTGGGGAGTCTGAGCTCCAGTGTGGCTCAGGGCAGAGCTCCCCATCACCTAACGCTGAGCACTGGGGCTGTGAGCAGCCAGGAGAGCACTTGGCCCAAGCCTGTTGGTGTATGAAAGAGGTGGCATGATAGGATGTGACTAAGTGTCAGCTCTTCCGCTTGAGAAAACAAGGTGAGGAGCCATCTGATTTTCAAAGTGGAGCAGAAAAAGCAGGAATTGTCCACTTGCATCAAGCATGGATCTGGAAGCAGCGCCTGTGAGTGTGTCACTAATTGCAGGAGATCCTGCAAGCGGGAGAGGCAGCACAGGGCCACGGCCAGTCATCCTGGGATGCTGCTGGGATGGGGCTGGAGATACAGCATGGCCCCTGTATTCTCCCCGGCCAGACTTCAGCAGAAAAAAGCTCAAGTGATGCTCCGGGCATGTCCAGGAGGAAGAGGAGGCAGAACTGGAGACCCTGCTCCATCCTGACAGCCTCCTCCACCCAGTCCTGCATATTTTGACATCAGCACTGCTGGTCCCCGAGTTGGCTCCTTGCTGGGGCTGCATCCCAGGGTGCAGGGGTGGGATGCTGGTGACTAGTACAAGCCCCGCTGCTCCGTGCAGGCTGCAGCATCGGTGTCTCCTCCTGGGGAGCAGCCAGCAAGGGGAGGTTTTTCTCCGCCAAGGACCACCCCCTATTCCCCCAGCTCGCTGCCTGCCTCAGAGTCTCTCAGCGGAGACGCGGTGGTGAGGGAGGTCCTCGGCGGCTCCCACTCTCCCACTCCATCTGTTCAGTGCTCCGCGCTGCTGCACCGAGCGCCTTGGCTGATGAGTGCCGGCCTCCCCTCTGGCCAAGCATCCCTCTGCCCCCTGAGCCAGGCATCCTGGGGCGCAACAGATGCTGTAAGGGCTCCCACACCCCGGGCAGCCGTGGCTGGTGGGGAAGCGCTTCAGGAGAGCCAGCAGCAAGCGATTGCCCGCGGGGGAAAGACGCAGTGTTTGATTTCCCGCAGGGTAACTCCGGCCTTGGCTTCAGCATAGCAGGAGGAATTGACAACCCCCACATTCCAGATGACCCGGGTATCTTCATCACCAAAATCATCCCCGGGGGAGCGGCAGCCATGGATGGCCGTCTAGGGTGAGTACAGGGCCAGGGAGCAGTCCCATCAGGGTTCTCCCCAGGGACCCTCTAGGCAGCTCCTGTCCCCCTCCCCTGCCATGGTCCCCAGCACTCTTCCTGGTCCCTTCCCCATAGCCAAGTCCCCTCAGTGCAGGGATGCCTGTGATCCCCTGTCACCAGCCTCGGGTCCGCAGCCACCCCTCCACCCTTCCCTGCGCCAGGCTCTGGCTCCCAGCCTTCCCCCTGCAGCCCAGAGCAGGATCCAGCCTTTCCCCTTATCTCCCATCTCCACCAGGGTTGCACCGTAGGGACCAGTCCTGCTGCCTCCCCCTTCGTGAGGGACCCCACTCTCACCCCAGCAGGGCAGGATCTGGCCAGCTTGACCAGCTCTCCTTCACACAAGGGTCTACGCAGCCAAAGGAGGGTGGCAGAGGTGTCCAGAGGAGGGTGGCACAGGCTGGCAGTTCCCCAGGGGAGCTCAGGGCCACCCTGTGCCCTCAGGGTGAACGACTGCGTGCTACGGGTGAACGACGTGGACGTCTCCGAGGTGGTGCACAGCAAAGCTGTGGAGGCCCTGAAGGAAGCGGGCCCCGTGGTGCGGCTTGTGGTGCGCCGCCGGCAGCCCCCGCCAGAGACCATCATGGAGGTCAACCTGATGAAGGGCCCCAAAGGTGAACCCCTCACTCTGCTTGCAGGACCAGGGTGCCCCACTGCCCCACGGGACAATGTGGGGTGGCCCCTCGGGGTGGTATGCCATGGGGTGTGAGGCAGCATGGTGGGGGCTGTGGGATGCAAAGTGACACTGCCACGGTGCAAGATGCCGCAGGGGGGCACAGCAGCACGGGATGCTATGGGGCACGGGGTGTGGGACAGCCCCACGGTCAGTGCACAGTGGCTGGGCTGTTCCCTCACAGCAATGGGGTGGTGTATTGCCTGCTGGGTTTGGGGCAGGGTGGGAAACCTGGTGAGGCAGAGAGGCTGTGGTGTCAGCCTGCCGTCATCCGTCTGTCCCTCACCCCTCACCTGCCGTCTCACTCCCCCTCAGGCCTGGGGTTCAGCATCGCAGGGGGCATCGGGAACCAGCACATCCCTGGGGACAACAGCATCTACATCACCAAGATCATCGAGGGAGGTGCTGCCCAGAAGGACGGACGCCTGCAGATCGGGGACCGGCTGCTCGCAGTAAGCCCCATGCCCACAGGCGGTCGCGAGGAAAAGCTAGGCAGTGTCTGCCGTGCCGATCCTGAACCCCAGCACCCCTCACTCCAACAGCCCCATGCCCCTTCCCTGGGGTCCCCACCGGGACGGGGCTGTGGGAAGGGCAGGCGCAGCACTGGCTGCAGATAGGAGGGCCAGAGGCCAAACCCATGGAGATGGGACTGTCTCCGAAGCTACTGCAACACCTACTCCCTGGAAAACCACTCTGCTCCTGCAGGGATGCTTTGGCTCCTGCCCTCATGCCTGCAGCCGTGTCACCCAGCCCCTTCCCTCTGGCAGGTGAATAACACGAACCTGCAGGACGTGCGGCACGAGGAGGCAGTGGCCGCCCTGAAGAACACCTCTGACATGGTGTACCTGAAAGTGGCCAAGCCCGGCAACATCCACCTCAACGACATGTACGCGCCCCCCGACTACGCCAGCAGTACGTACGCCTCCAGCCGCTGGTGCGGCAGCCGGGGCACCGCAGAGCTGGGGGGGACAGAGCGTGCTGGGCAGCGGGCAGTGCTGGGCTGGTCTCCATGTCTGCGGTACGGATGGATTTCTGCTCCTGATGTCCTTCTCCTCCCCTGCAGCCTTCTCAGCCTTGGCTGACAACCACATAAGCCATAACTCCAGTTTGGGCTACCTGGGCAGCGTTGAGAACAAGCCTGCCTACCCAGTCCCTCCCCAGGTGACTCCATCCCGGTACTCACCCATCCCTCGGCACATGATCGGGGACGATGACTTCACCAGGTGAGTACCAGGCATAAGCATCCCTATTCCCTGCTCCTTCTCCCTCTCTTTCCCTCCCTGGCTGCTTGACCTTATCCCTGCTGCCAGTGCAGAGCCTCGGCCAAAAGTCCGTTTGTGGATACATGGTGCAAAGCTTGGGGGCTTCGCAGTGAGCTCCATGCTAACCCCCACCATGATCATCCCTGCTCTGTCACTCCCTGGCTTGTTGCATCCTCCCTTCCTTGTTCCCCTCCTGCTTCTCCCCAAGCCTTACACTTCTGCATTTCAGCTTCTTTTTCCTACTTGTTTTACAATCCCTGGAATACAAGGTGTTCCCTGCCCTGACACCGCCGTCCGGTGCCAGCAGCTTCCAGGCTGTGAGCTGGCTGTCCCTGAGAAGAGCTGTGTTGGGTGTGAGGGGCTGGGGAGGTCACTGGTCTGAGTACAAGTAGGGCTTCTCCTCTTGGAGCCTTGCCTGGCATTCACCTGCGCCAGGTGCTCTCTGACCAGTGGCCAGCCCTGGGCTTGACAGCCTGCACAGCCCTGGCATGGCCCCGTTTTCCCCACTAGCGTCATTTACCTGCACAAGCAGATTTGTTTCCTGAACCCAGGAAATAAAGAGGAGCACAAAGGAGACATTGCTCTGAGCCTAAATGCAGTGTAAAACTTCTCCAAAGTCTCATGCTGAGGATGGGAGAGCGAGATCTGGCTGGTCCTGCTCTGCTTGCCTGGACTCACAGCTTTCCTTTTGCTTGCAACAGCCTTGTGGCCAGTGCTGAGCCTACTCTTGGTTTGGTATCTCCAGGGCCAGGGCTGTAGGGCTCAGGCTGTATTCCTAGGACCGACTCTTGAGTTAGGCTTAGAGCTGGATCTGTGGTTAGGAGCAAGGTTGCAGGCTAGTTTCAGGGTTGCATTTGCAGCGGAAGATGCCTCAGCCTCGGCTGGGATTGTCCCATTCAGGATGCTGGCTGATGCCAGAGCGAGAGACCCTGACTTGCCATCCAGCATCAGGTCCGCTGTCCCCCAGGAGTGCCTGCACTCACCTTCACCACGGGGATTTCTCACTTCTTGGTGCTCGGCTGCAGCTGGGTGCCTCTGCACGCCGTGACCTGTACGACACCAGCCTCTGCCCACACCCCATCTCTCCCACCTGCTCCTGGCACCAGCCTGTTCCCAGAACTGCGACCTCATTGGGTGTAGCAAGTCTTGTGCTCTCAGGGCACTGGTGGATGATGCCACATGCAGGAGCAGTGCTTCTTGCCATTACGCTGCATCACAGCACTTGGAAAATGCACCATCTTTCTCTTGCCAGTCCTACCAGCGTGTCCCTTCCTTCACCCACCAACGTCCTTATTTGTGGGCCAGAGAGCGGAGAGAGCAGCCCAGCCCGGGCTGGACACAGCCCGGTGGCGAAGGCCTGGCGATGGCTCGGCAGTGGCCCCGATGCAGCACGTGCTGGTGGCCACTAGAGGATGGTGCTGCCTTGCGGAGGGCCCTGCTGCAGACAGGCTGACACCGCCGGGCCACTGTCCCCAGCCACAGCCCCCTGCTCCCCGCCAGACCCGCAGCCTGCCATGGGCTCAGCACCTCCCTCATCCAGGCCAGGGCAGCGCTGAAAACCTCATGTGCATCACCAATCCCTCCACCAGGACAGCTTCATCGCCACCGCGGGTCTGTTAGCTCATGCGTCACCAAGATTGCGCACTGGGACCAGCATGGGCCAAATGCATCTCACTCGTGTGGAGAAAGGCAGCGACTCCTCTGAAAAACCAGCTGTCTCCTAGGAGGCTCCTGCCAGGCATTCCCCAGGAAGAGCAGAGGTCCTGGCAGGCACAAGTGCTGCGGCAGACATGGACATGGCTCCAGTGATCCTTGTGTCCTGCAGCACCCAGGAATGGGAACCAGAACATCTGTTTTTCAGTGAGCTCCACCACAGCAACCCAGACCCAGCACAGCCCCACAGGATCCCCGCAGTTGCTCTGTGCTGAGGTCCCAGTGTTAACACTGCAACATCCAGTGTGGGATCTGCCTGCAGGATCAGTGCCCTGCCTCCCGGGATGGGGATGGAAGTGGAGAGTGCATGTCATGACTAAGACCTGAGATGTACTTGTGTGGGGCTTCATTTTCTCTCCTTGTTCCTGTTGTGTTGTTCTACCTTCCACCAAACCGTCTGGTCCTCATCGATGCTGGAGATGCTTCCCCCCCAGGCCAAGCTGGTGTGGTGGTTCCTGCACTCGGCTTGGGCAGCGGCAAAATGAAAGGGGCAAAGCTAGTTCATCAGCTGGTTGGAGGCAGGGTTTGCAGACCCAGAAATCTGACCTATTTCTTATCCTGGGAGAGCTCTAGCCCCAGGCACAGCTTTGCTGCAGAGGCACTGATGGCTGCAGCCCTCCCTGCCACCTCACAACCGCTGCTGAGCCAAGCATTGGTGGCATCCTGAGGAGATGGGGTCAAGCCTTTTTTGACCATAGTGGCGTTCCCATGGTGTTTACCCGGTCTCCGTCTGGTCCTGGCGCATCCCAGCCCCAAACTGTGGTCCAGCTGAGCCCTGAGTCCCACTTAGCTCAGAAGCTGAACACATCCAAAGGCCATAAAAATAAAGCAGTTTTTTTCGAAGGTCGCAAGGTAGATTCAGCCTCTGCCCCATCAGAAATGCATAGCTGGAGTTACAGCTCTGCTGTACCTCTGCATTTGAAGGCAAGGGCCTGTGGCGATGCATGGTGTGTGTGGAGCTGCAGGGATGGGGAAATGGTGGCGAATTTGCCCTCACTTGGGTGCTCCCCCCACTCGGGGCTGTTCTGTCCATGCCTGCAGGGGCAGGAAGGAGTTAAGTCTGTAGGGTCTAGCAGAGGAAAGGCTGTGTCCTTTCAGTGCTTCCATAAAAAACCCTGTGTGTGGGTCGGGGAAGCCACCGGCCCTGCAGCCGTCAAGAGGCAGAGACAGGCAGCGCTGGGCGGCCGTGGCGCAGAGCATTCAGAACATTCCTGCCCCTCACGCCTCCTGGCCGGCGCCGCTAGCAGAGCCTGCCACGCCGCAATGTTCACCGTCAATGTGTCGTCGTCCGTGTCCTACGGGGGACAGCCGTCCCTGTTCCCTTCCAGGCAGTGGCGAGGCCACAGGAGCAAGTGTGACCAGAGGTAGGGGACTGGGATGCTGCCGTGCCTGGTGGGAGTCACGGGGATGGGGAGAGGAGCAGATGGGAGAGGCAGGAGGGTCAGACTGTGCTGAGCCCAGGGTCTGGGCAGGACAGGAGCCCACCAGAACCTCTTTGCAAGGCATCCTGCACTTCTGTCTGTCCCCCTCCTGCTCTATTGCTCCTTATAAGGTGGTTGCCTGGAGCTAAGTGACATTGAGACCATCAGGAATCCTCCACGGGAAAGGATGGTGGGAGACTTTTCCTGGGGTGCTGGCACATGTCCCTGGAGGTAAATCCTGATGCCTGCATCCATGAAAGCACTGAAACCTTCCCCCATCCACCCAGCTGACAGCAGTGATGCTCCAGCCTGGCCTGGGGGGCTGAAAAAGATGTTTTCTTGCAAGAGTAGCCTGGGAGCATGCTGACAGGCCGCAGGGCTTTATGCTGTCTGCTCAGCCAAACTTTATTCCCCTGGGTCCCTGCTCTGCTCATGGCACCTGAGCCCCGCTCATTCCCTGACTGTCGCCAGCAGCTGGGGGGGCAGCTGGGCTGGCC